AACATATGAGAAGATGATTTGAAAAGTAGAAATACATCATCAAGAAAAGTGTCCCACCTGATGGCAAAGACGGTTTTCCCGATCCATAACGATTAGAAGCAATCACGCGAAACTCAGCAGTTACTGATGGCCGAAGGTTATCAACAAGTACAGAGCAGCATTCCTTAACCTTCATTTTAGTGCCGATGTTTTTTCAACTCACGCTATTCGGTAGCAGAATTAACTGAAATTTTCTGAATATGTGGACCTACTTCAGTTGGGACATTGTCCACAACAACTTCCCAATCGCTCCACAGCTGAGTAGGTCCCACTGTTCGCATTTCAACAGAATGCCTAAAATGAGCGTAAATAACTAGCATAAAAGCAAAGTTTAGTCATAGAAAAACTCACTTTATGATGGGTGAATTCCCGTCAAAACCCTCAACCCAAGAAACTCGGATTTTCGAAGGAAGAGTGTTGTTGATGAGTTCAGCACGAACAAATGTAGGCATTTGCGGTCGTTCTGAATGGTGATGTATTTTAAGAAAAAGTGTTGTAATCTTTTCTAAACTATCTTAAAACATAATCAATACAAGATTCGTTTTAAACGTAATATTTCTTAGAAGCAATTGTCATGGAGTTTTTTCTGAGAACTACTACTTCAGATGAATGTTGTCGCTCCTCAAAAAGAAGCAAACTTTTCAGTTTTAAAGTAATATTCATTCCACGGTTATAAATTAGATATTGTCCCTCACGATATCCGTTCATGGTAATTTTGTAGAATTACTTAAAGAATGGAGTGTTTTGCTTAATAAAAAAGAACAAAGTAATACCGATAATTCGCAGAAATGCAGATGCGCTCTCTTCTCGTCCATCCACTGAGACTGTACATCGATACTCTCCAATATTATCAGGGCCCACTTGTTGTATCAGTAGTCCACCCTTCTTGTTGGTTAAACGTAGGCTTGGATTTCCAGTTGACGGTATCAGCTCATCCTAAAAAAAAGGAAATTCGCAGCTTCTCCACAAAAAAATGGAGGAACTCACATTCATATACCACATCACATTT